TATGTATATGTAGCCTCCTCATTCAGTCTACTAGAAAACATATATTTATGGGCAATAATCAAGGTTTACATTTACTTTTCCAGATTTATTTCAGGTGTTTAAGAAAATGTTTCCGTAAGATGGTATTTCATTAGTTATTAAGAAATTTAGCATCTCTGAATGCTCAGAGGCATTTGGATGCAGCTTCCTTCATTTTCTGTGTCTGCCTACTACTTACATTAGAAGAGAAAGCCATTCTTCCCAGAACTACCTTTGGAGTTCCTTAGGCCTCTCCTGGGAAAGGTGGTCTCTAGGTGTTCTCTTTTAGGAAGAAGTGTCATTGTTAATTCTCTGAATCCAAAATAGGGAGAGAGAGAGAGGATAGACTTAAGAGTTCTTTTGGTGACTGTGTGTGGAGTCTGTGGCTTGGATTTGGCTTTGTAGAATAATTTTTAGTTTTAAAATCTACATTTGGTTTACATACTATGTTATTTTAGGTACAAACCGGTGCGAGAGGATGAGGAAAGTAATAAAGATTGTGTTGGTGGTAAAAGAGGAAGAGCCCAAACAGCTCCAACAAAAACTTCCCCTAGGAATGCAAAAAAACATGATGAGTTATGGCACGGTAAGATGATACATAAAGGGAAAAGTAGATTGTTATCAGGTAGTAGGCTTCCTGTTTTCATGAATTTAATGGAGTGATTTATATCTAACAGTAAATCTTTCAATATAATTTAGAAGCAAATGAAATTACAACAGTCTGATTGCTTTTAATTGAATCCTTGACTTTAATATCTAGAAAACGAAAAATTAATTACCTGCAAAATTTAATTTGGAAAGAAAATTGGGAAAGAATTTATGTTTTCTATTACAGAAGTTTATTTAAGAAAAAGTTGTGTAAATGGACATGACCTGATTTTTACATCATACTAAACAGGCCCTTTGGAGAGGGGACATGGATTTCTCTGCTGAACAGCCATTATTTATGCTCATTCCCAGGCTTGTACCCTGAGGATACTGTTTCCTCATGTTACCACCATTCCAGTATTGTTCTGTTGCCCACTGATTGCCATCTCCACACATTCATCCATCACAAGATTCATAAAAAAGGAGGATCAAATACCCATAATATTCCTTGAACATGTCTCCCACCATTTAATTTTGGTGATAACTTCTTGTCCATAAATTTTTTCAGTTTGAAAGGTGAGCTTTATTCATGGTGTCTACTCCACAGTCTTAGAACTACCTTGAAACAGAATTCTAAAAATTGGGGAAAACTGTTACTCCAATTTTTTAAGAATTCATGTTTTCATGAAGGCTGAAACAAATTTTATTAGTAGAACACATTCAGTAAAGAAGAGACTAAAGGCAGTGGCTGGGCATTGGCAGATTGGCCCTTAATTTTTATTGTCATTCATTACAGTAGTATAATTTAACAATTACAGAAGTTATAAAAAGTGATGCCAGATAATACAGTGACTACAGAATGTAGTAGCCACTTCCCAATTGACTTATTTTCTTTTGCAGTACTTCCTTCCAGCCTAATATTCCTCCCATAGCCCCAGCCCTTTTTATATGGTGGTAACAGTGTCTTAGCATAATGGGGGTGGGCACTCCTGGTCACAGTAATTTTCAAACATTGGTTTCCCTGGTCCACAGAAATTAGAGCATTTTAGCATTTTTTTTTCCCCCATAAAACCAAGTTTGTTTTATTTAAAAGGCTCTTAATTTTTGATTGTCATTTTTCATTTTGGTGTTTAAAAATGCTCTTTCATCAAGTAATAGTGTTGTGATTTTTTTTATTATTATTATTTTACTTGGTAAAAGTAAATGGCAACAATTTCAATCCTTCAGACTGTTTTTAAAAAATGCTATTACTTAATAAAATCTAAAAACAAAGAAATCATAGACCCTGCTTGAAAACTATCACAGTCTACCCAGTCCTAAGGCATGGGTTAAATAACCAAGTGTCTTTATCAAATTTATAATTTGAGGGTTTTCATCTGTCTTATATGACAGGTTTAAATTGGATATGAAAAATCCAGAAAATTTCTGTAACAGTGAACTTAAATTTAAACGGTTAGTTTTTATTCCTCTGGCCATTTGATTGTTAGCTATTGTTTCTGGTATAAGGGAGAAATGCAAATGATTCTGTTTTTCTTCTTCATAATGTTTATTTGGGTATGGGAGGAGAAAGTGTAATTTTCATGAGCCTAGACATTTTATAGATAAAAGGGAAAAATGTCTATGCTATCAATACTCTAAAAAAATACATCAAGCATTAAATGCAACAACTCTGGTTACTGTTTTTGGGGTAAGACACGGGCTCCATTGGCTTAGCCTTTTTAGCTCATCAAAACTAACTTTGGGCCGAGCACGGTGGCTCACACTTGTAATCCCAGCACTCTGGGAGGCCAAGATGGGAGGATTGCTTGAGGGCAGGAGTTCAAGACCAGCCTGAGCGAGAGTGAGACCCCGTCTCTACCAAAAATAGGAAACTTAGCTGGGCGCGGTGACGTGCATCTCTAGACCCAGCTACACAGGGGACTGAGGCAGGAGGATCACTTGAGCCCAGAAGTTTGAGGTTTCAGTGAGCTGTGATGCCGCCCCTGCACTCTAGCCTGAGCAACAGAGTGAGACTCTGTCTCAAAAAAAAAAAAGAACACAAGCAAACAAACAAAAATTTACTTTGATCTTTTGCCCTCTAGATGGAGTATGCCCATCAGTATCAAATCCTTTAGAAGTTTACCTCATTCCCACACCACCTGAAAATATAACCTTTGAAGACCCGTCATTAGATGTGATCCTACTTTTAAGAGTTTTACATGCCATCAGTCGATACTGGTATTACTTGTATGATGTGAGTAATGTTACCCACTTACGAAGTTTTCATGGTCTGCTGTTTATGACATGTTATCTCATAGTGCCTGTTTGATGAATTTCCTGTTGCAATTAGAAACAGAAACAGTGATTCAGCCAATTGCAGGGATCCTAGCCTAGTGAATGTACCATGTACTCATCAGTGGAAACTTTTCTCCCACTTTTTCCCCCTGGCCTACATTCTTAGATTAATTCTCTTGGCAGATTCATAAAATCTTCCCTAGCCATAAATTAATTAAATTAAGCTACAACATGAAAATTGAACATGGATTTATTATAATTAAAATTCTTTCGGTAAGTTTAACCAAAAGTTCATTTACCAAAAATTTATATCAAGTAAAAAATTCGGTGAAAGTTGCTTACTGCCTTTGGAAAGTTATTGGGCTTGCATGAAACATTAGCTGCCACATCAATGATTGAGCCAGCAACAGCAGCCCATGGGGGAAGTAGGGGTTGGGCTGGGGTTTAGCAATATATTTTGAGTTGAGATACACCAATGAAAAGCTATGTACTGTATGTTGGAAACCAGCAGGTGACATCTAGGCACTCTGCATGTATTTAAGGATAAAAGAAGAGATTGTGAATATAATCGTAATGTTTTACTACATGTAGAATTTTTTTTGACATTTTACAGAATGCAATGTGCAAGGAGATTATTCCAACTGGTGAATTTAACAACAGTAAGTTAACAGCAAAAGCAAATAGGCAACTTCAAGATCCTTTAGTAATCATGACAGGAAACATCCCAACATGGCTTACTGAGCTAGGAAAAACCTGGTAAGACAGTTACCTCTGTAATGGTGGCCTTGGGAATGTTATCGGGTTGGTCTTTATATAATTTTGTAACAGGAACGTTATCTTTAAGTGGGCCTTATTAAACCTAATAATTATCAACCTAATTAAATGTTGATTAACACTGTTCTATTTGATCACTGCTTGCTTAATAGTGTAGCTTTAGCATTCAAACAGATTAGATAAGTTGGCTGGTACTAAATCTCCTTGATGGTATGTATCTATATATAAGAAATAGAAAGGTATACAAGGATGTTTGAGGAGAGTTAAATCCTCTGTGGTTGTAAAATTGGTCTCCAAAGGTGTAATTGCTTTATTCTCTGAGCCTCTTTGGGTCAGAGATTCTAGAACTGCACCAGTAAATACAGTAGCCACTGGCCATATCTGGCTTTTTACATTTGAATTAGTTATATATAATTAAGTAAAATTAGAAATTGATTTTTTTCAGTCACATCCTCACGTGACTGCCGTATTGGACAGAACAGATACAGAATGTTCAGGTCATCATAGTAAATGCTGTTGGCAACTTTCTGTCAAGGATTACCAAAATCATACATCAAGAGACAGGAGGGCTTAGGAACCCTGTTCCTACAGGGTTCATTCTTTAAAAATCAATAGCTGCCTTTTAGCAGTTTTGAGTCACTTAGAAATGGCAAAGCTGGGAGGAAAATCATGAAATAGTAAGGCCGTTTCTTGTGTATATGTGGCTTGGGGAGGGGTCACTAAGTTCACTTAGTATGGAGGAGGTTTGGCAGCCTCATGAAGTGGTGGTTATAATTTTACATTAAGCTTTCATTAGTCATGTTATAGTTCCTAACAGGCTTGGAGTAGATTAAAGATCATCTTGGATAGACTTAAGTGTAGGATTTTAAAAGTTAAATTTCAGGTTTTAAATTGAAAGGCTACATAATGCATTATTGCTTGATCACAGAAATTTCATGCAAGAATTATGAAAATTTTTTAAAATTAATTTGCCTAGATCATTTTTATTGGTTTCATTCATAATTATTCTATATCATATCAAAAGTTATTTCTAATAGAGATTTTGATGTTGGTGGTGGTTTCTGATTCTTACTCAGATAATAAATTTGTATTGCATCTTTTTACAGCCCATTTTTCTTTCCTTTTGATACCCGGCAAATGCTTTTTTATGTAACTGCATTTGATCGGGACCGAGCAATGCAAAGATTACTTGATACCAACCCAGAAATCAACCAGTCTGATTCTCAAGATAGCAGAGTTGCACCTAGATTGGATAGAAAAAAAGTAAGTTTCTCCCCAAAATATTTAAATAAACCGAACTTTTCAAATTAATGGGAAAACTAGAAATGTAGTGTACCCCTAAGTATTGGTTGGCCTCTTAGTTTTGGAGACCGTAGTCACAGTCATCTCCTTGTTAGCCATATTTCCCTATCAGTCTTTTGAAACTGGGCTGTGTGTGATTCTTTTTTATCCTCCATTGAGAGTACTTTCTCCCCAGTTTCTGAAATAATTTTTATGATTCTTTTTTCCCCTTATAGTTGCCATAACTCTTGTACCAAGAAAGTATCTTGTCTTATCTTACTGAGACTTCCTTTTCTTTCTAAATTAGGAACTCAAACTATAGCCTCCCTTTTAAAATTGATCCCTAACACAGTAATTAGAATTAGTCAGACCCGTTTTATTCCCTCAACAAATCACTCCAATTAGAAGAGAAAGAAACAAAATCCTTAATGTATTCTGAATCTCTATACCCGTCATCCTCAGTGTTGCATAAACTACAGTTCCCTGAGCCATTTCCCATCTGAGAACCAGTCCTACACTCTGACTTGTACTGTCTTACTCAGGACTTTTCTGTCATCTGCCCCTTTTATTCTGAGGATTTAAGCCTCTCTTCCAAAAGCCTTTATCTCCTTTTAGAGATAAGAGCCATTTAGTTAGTAATGATATAGAAAAGGGAGAGAGTTACATTTATAAGGAGAAGCAAAACAAAACATACAGCAAGTATTGTACTTAAAAACCATGCTATTCTTATCTTCATTTGTCCCACTGGGATTCGATAAACAATGGTGTTGGCATGATTTAGATATCTAGCAGGACATTTATCACCCCCGTGTATCTCATTACTACTACATTATTAAGTATGAAATGTCTGATTTCCTTAAGTACTAAGTTTGTTGATAATTTCTAACATTTCACTCTGACACTTCTTGTATTATTTTTATTGTGAAGGTACATCCTCATTCTTTGAAATGCATTCTTTTGTGATTATCAATTTTTTTTTAGAGCAATTTTTGTAAAACCATGGATAAGTAAAAATTTGTGTTATTTTCAAATATGAGTTCTGTTGTGGAACCAGTACAGTGTAGACAGCTTAAAATATCAGTGGAGTGTTTGGGAAGGATGTAGCTAATGAATGCACAGTACATCAGTGGTTTGAGAAGTTCCATTCTGGTGATTTTAACCTTTAGAATGAGCCACATGGGCAATCTGAGACCAAGGTGGATAATGATGAGCTGAAAGCTATAGTGGAAGCGAATCCATCTCATCCTACACATGAATTAGCAGCAAGGTTTGACATTACTATTCCAACAATATTGGACCATTTGAAACAAATGGGCAAAGTAAGAAAGCTGGGTAGATGGGTTCTGCATGAATTAAAAGAGTGTCAGAAGAGAAATTATCTCAAAGCTTGCCTTTCTTTGCTGTCACAACATAAAGGAGAACGATTTCTATACCATATTGTTACGTGTGATGAAAAATTGATTCTTTTTGACAATTGCAAGCATTCAGCACATGGTTGGATAAAGATGAAGTGCCGAGACACAGTCTGAAACTGAATATTCAGCAAAAAAACCTAATGGTGTCTGGTGGTCCAGTGCTGGAATTATCCACTATAGGTTCATGAAACCTGGCCAGTCAATTACAGCAGATGTCTACTGCAGCCAGTTGGATGAAATCATTAGGATGTTTGTGATTAAACAGCTGAGATTGGTCACTAGAGACAGGCCAGTCCTCTTGAAAGACAACGCTCAACCACATGTCTCACAAACAGTGCTGCTCAAACTATAGAGACTAGACTTGGGAACTCTCTGTCATCCACTGTATTCACTAGCCCTTGCACCACCTGACTACCACTTCTTCCAGGCTTTGGACCACTTCTTGCAAGGAAAAATACTCAATTATCAACAAGCTGTGGAAAACACTGTTTGCGATTACATTGCCACTGGCTCCTCCAGGCTTCTTTACTGCTGGCATAAACAATCTACCATTGAGATGGCAAAACTGTGTTGATAGGTTAGGTGCATATTTTGATTATTTGTACTACTTCTTGTTTGAGATATAATAAACTAAACTGTTGATTCAAAATCAGACACTTCATATTTAATGACCTGATAAGGTTCCGTAGTAGTGCTTGTAGAATGTCGGCAGGTCAGAGCCAATAGGTTTCCAGCTCACCTGTCTCACTCGCCATCTCCATACCTATTTCTCCATCATCTAACTACAAATGTACACAGGGAGGTTTCATGAAACTGCAGCCTTGAGCTACATTGATGTTTGGCAAAGTTACAAAGGTCTTTCTTCTCCAACTTGACTTTTCTAAACCTCCCATGACCTCAAAATAAATTAATAATTACTCTTGCATCTAGCTTTCCTTCATATAGGTCAGGTTGATGTTGATGTTCGTAGCAGTGCAGCTGCTGCTTAACGTTTTCTGAGGTATGCGTTTGAAGAAATAATTTGCTAATAATTTAATTGACTTTTTTGCATTTCAAAAAATGCCACCTGTTTATTAAAGTGTAATATAAGTAAAGCATAGTTTCCTCACATTTGTGCTTTCTTTGTAGCGTACTGTGAACAGAGAGGAGCTGCTGAAGCAAGCCGAGTCTGTAATGCAGGACCTTGGCAGCTCACGGGCCATGTTAGAAATCCAGTATGAAAATGAGGTGAGCTTCCAAGTCTGGTGATGGCATTTAGCCTGACTTGTGCTCTTCATAAAGTGTCGTTTGAGTTTATTGCTGCTGTGAAATTCTGAAAGACAATTGGCAATTTAGCTAAAAACTAAGATTTGCTCTATTTTTTCTTGAATGATTTGTTCTTAGTTCTCCATTTTTCAAAAGTTTGACTATAATAAAAGATAAGTTTATTCCTGGCATAAAAGCATATTTTTGTTTAAGTATGTCTTTAAGTTGATAAAGTGAGAGGATAATTTAAAGAGCTAATAGCTTTCAAAATGTTTGGACTGCCTTTTTTTAAAAAAAAAATCAGGTTTACTGAGATAAAACTTATAAATAATAAACTGTATACTTTAAAAATCTACAGTTCTGAGAGTTGGCAGATGTATACAGTTGAAACCACTACCCCATCAAGATAAAGAACAGTCCCATCACCACCACAAGTTTCCCTCAGACCACTTTGCAACCATTCATCTCTCCAGCCTCCATCCCCAGCCCCTGGCAACCGTTGATCTGTTTCCTTTCTCTATAGTTTGATATTTTTTACACTATCATAATGAATGAACTCATGCCATATGTAGCCATTTGTCAATCTTCTTTCACTTAACGTCATGCTTTTTGAGATTCATCCATGTTGTTGATTACTGGGTGGTATTCCATTTTATGGATGCAACATAATATGTTTACCAGTTGATGCACATTTGGGTTGTTTCCAGATTTTGACTATTTTGAGTAACACTGCCATATGCATTTGTATTCACGTCTTTGTGTAGACAGACGTATGTTTTTATTTCTCTTTTGGCAAATACTTCAGCATCGAATTGCTGAGTCATTTGGTAAGATATGTTTTAACTTTATAAGAAATACCAAGCTGTTTTCTGAAGTGGCTGTCACGTTTTACATTCCCACCAGTAATGTATGTATGTATGTGAGTTCTAGTTGCTTCAAGTGCTCACCAATACTTGGTGTTGGAAGTTTTTTAAATTTTAGTTATTCTTATGGGTTTATAGTGGTATCTATTGTAGTTTTAATTTGCATTTCCCTGGTGACTAGTGATAATCATTTTTTCATTGCTTATTGACCATTCACATATCTTTTGAGAAGTATCTAAGAATTTTGCCCACTTTTTTTGGCTATTTTCTTCCAGTTTGTGGAATATCTTATTCATTTCCTTGTAAAATGTCTTTGGAAGAGCTGAAGTTTTAAATTTTGATAAAATCCAGTTTTATCAGTTTTTTTTTCTCGTTTGTGTTTTTTTGCACCCTAAGAAATCTTCCGCTAAACCATGGATCTCAAAGATTCTTTTCTATGTGTTGTCCTAGAAGTTGTACAGTTTTACCTCTTAGTCTGTGATCACTTTTAAGTTAATTTTTAAATATGGCATCAATTAAGGGTTGCAGTTCTTTTGCTTTTTTAAAAAAAGATCGGCCATTCAGTTTTTCTAGTACCATTGTTGAACAACAAACCATTCTTTCCTCTGTCGAATTTACTTTGTCCCCTTTGTTGGAAATCAGTTGACTATGATGTTTGGGCCTCTTTCAAGATTTTTCTATTCTGTTCTTCATAGTAAGTTTTAATCAAATAGTGTGAATCTTCTAGCTTTGTTTTTCTTTTTCAAAGTTGTTTTTGCTTATTCTCAACTTGTATTTCATGTAAATTTTAGAATCAGCTTGATCAGTTTGAAGAGAATTGACATGTTTATGGTATTACATCTTCTGATCCATGAACGTAGTGTAGCTGTCCACTTGGTAGGTCTTTAATTTTTCTCAGTATTGTTGCTTAATTTAGGTCTTTAGGCCTTTCTTGCACATTACATTTCTCCCCAAATATTTTGTTTGTTTTTTGATGGTGTTAAAAATGGTACTCAATTTTCAGTTTGTTGTTGGTTTATAGAAATACAGTTGGTTTTTGTATATTAATTTGTTTTCTGTGACCTTCATAAACTTAATTATTAGTTAACTTCTTTAATAAATCATTTAGGCTTATTGTATACCCATGGCTTGGGAAACTTTTCTGTAAGAAGTACCAAATAATAAAGGCTGTGTGAGTCCAGCAGCCTCCATAACTACTCAATTTTGCCTTTATAGCATGAAAGTGGCAATAGACAACATATAAATGAATGATGGCTATGTTCCAACAAAACTTTATAGTCACTGAAGTTTGAAGTTCATTTAATTTTCACGCATCGAGAAATAATATTCAGGATTTTTTCAACCATTTAAAAATGTAAAAAGTATTCATAGCTTTCAGACAGTACAAAAACAATGGCTAGCACTGTGGTTTGGCCCACCAGTTGTAGCTTGCTGACCTGTGTTGTAGATAGCAAGTAAAGACAGTTTTGTTTTATTGAGTCTCTTGGGAATACTTTCCCTCTTCCTCTTGCCTAGGTGTTTTTTTTTTTTTTTTTTTAAAGACAGAACTCAGAGAGTTTTTGGACTTCTCTGAACCTCTTACGTACTTAAAATTTCCAAACCTTCCATTATACCAATTATTTACTTATAATAGCCAACTGCTCTCCCCCTCAGTTTTCTTATCTGTAAAATGTGGGTAATAGTAGTGCAAGCTCATAGCTGTGATGGAGTTCATGTATGTGGAGAGGTAGAGCAGTGCCTGGCTTGTGGTAACCACTGTATAGATTTAGCAGTTTAATCTGTAATATTATCTGTAACTATACAAGTAATTTTAATCATGACTTAATTTGCATTCATTTTTTAAAGTATTTTCTCCTTTTTAAGACTTTCAAAAAGCTAACTGAAGAGTATTTACTCACCAAAATTTAAGTTTTAAGTTGTGTGCTGGGAGGTAAAAGGCATGCTAGGGATCCAAGTTAGAGCATAGTTCCCGCACTCAAAACGATTACCAGCATAGCTGGGGAGACACAGGATGAAAGTACCAAAGGGTTTGGCAAGTAACGTGGTATAAGTACCACGTGAATGAGGCTTTCCTCAAAGTGTGTGGGGAAGGCCTTGTGGAGAAGTAAGCTCTTGAGTTAGACCTTAGTGGAAGAGAAGGGGAGGGTTGAAGGACCATTTTCCGGCAGGAGCTGGGGATTGAGCCAAGCATAGGGCTTGGTGGTGAGTGTCAGAAGAGAGTGCCACTCTGGAAGTGCTGGGAGAGAGGGTAGAGAGAGAGAGGAGTCCAGATGGGGGTGGAGGCCCTTGCCTGCTGGGTTAAGAAACTTGGATCTTGTTTTGAATTCACTCTGATCATGCCTGTTGTTCAGAGTATACTGCTCTTAGATATTTATGTATCCAAGTTTCTTACTCATAAGACTGCAAGACCTTTGCTTGTTAAAGCACACCACACATCGTGGTGTGCTTTCTCTCTTTAACTATGCTTTTTATTTTTTTACTTCAACATCTTTTTCTCTTGCCAGGAATATCCCTTCCTCTCTAATACTTTATGGTTCTGTTAAAATTGCATCTTACATGAAACCTAAATAAGCTCAGATTGGCTTCACACTGACTGTTCTAAGTACCAGGATTGGATTGCTGATGCACAAATCAAGATTTTATGATCTTCCTTGATGGGTCTTACCTGTTGACTCGGAGAAACATTTCAGGAGCTGGCTTCACTGTGCGAGGGAGGGGTAGCGTCTCCCACTCCCCACGCCCCAAGTACTGGCTTTATAGATACATAGTTTCAGGTGGTGAATCAGATTCAACTTTCCAAGTCAGCTAATGGCCATTAGGAAAAATTTCTAGCTGGCTTAGAAGAATCCCAGTCAAAAAGTCAGATCAAAGTGGGCTCCATCTTGAATTGACATGATTGGTTTAATTCTTCCCTTGGCTAACCAATCTATGGGATCAGAAAGCCATCCAGGCCTGAGGGATTAGGGCTAAAAATGACCCAGTCCCCTTTGGGATGGTGCAAGGTCAGGAACATGGACTGTAGAGCCTGGCTTTTCCCTACGTACTTGCTGTGTGATGTTGGGCAATGTCCTCATCTCAGCTGAGGCCTCATCATGTCATGTTGTTAGAATGATTAAGTGAGCTGAAGTGTGTGAAGCACTTAGAATATTACCAGTCACATAAGTGCTGGTAAATGCAGGTGTTAACTTTGAAAGAAAAAGACTTCATTTTAAGGCAAGTTGTCAGACTTTTTTGTTTTTCTGTTTTTGTTTCTAGACTTTTATGCTTTTCTTTCCTTTACAAACAGAAACAAAGCAAAACCAAAATCGTTACCTTTTTAATGGTGTGGTTGGGTAAAATGAAGATCCCTGGATAGATCAGGTTGGTCTGCAGGGAAATGCTGGCCAGCTCCAGGTTAGGGCTTGTATTGTCAGAGCAAATGTGACCTGGGCCTTCCACCTGCCACAGACTCAAAGAGGAAAGTGCTTTTAGTTACACCGTGTGATTTAATATTTTAAGTTAAGCCTGTTTTACTTTTAGAAATAACAATATTTGGACGAAGGAAGTAGACTAATTTGGATCTGTGACTTCTGTTTAGCCTGGGATAATTTTATGCCAAAAGGAGAATTAACTGGATTTAAAGCACCATCTGGTGGACACCAGATGTTACTGCAGGGTTTTCTTTGTTTCTCTTTTCTTTTCCTCTCGCTTTTCTCCTCCAGTGCACAAGATTCAGTGTATAAAAGAATATACAAAGTTCCCCCCATTGTGGAGCTTATCTTTTAGTTTGGGAAGGCTGATACACACTTGTATACACATATGTTAGACTGTGTGGTAAAGAAAAGCAAAGCACAATAAGAGGGTGGAGTATGTTGGGAAAGGGTAGGGTGCTCAGAGGGACATTTGAGTAGAGGTGAGTCATTGCTATCTGGGAGAAGAGTATATCTAGCAAAAGAACAGCGAGGGAGCATTCCTGGCCTATTGGAGGATGAATGTGGCTTGAGCATAGTGAGCCAAGGGCAGGGCAGTCAAGGTCAGAGGTGGGGGGCAGGAAGGGACCTGTAGGACATGCAGACCATGATAAGAACTGGAGCTTTGCTTTGAGTAAGGTGGGAAACTTTTGGAGGGTGCAAAGGGATGACATGAACTTGTGTTTCATTAATATAAGGCTCACTCTTGCTACCATGAGAATGGAATGTAAGATGTTGGGGAGCTAGTACAGAGACCATCTATGAGGATGTAGCAGTAGTGGTCTTTAAGAGAGGATGGTGGCTGGGTAAAGTTGGTAATTAGTTTAGAACATATTTTGAAGATAGTGCTTATGGTATTTACTGATGGATTGAATTGTGGGGAGTTAGAGAAGGGACAGGATGGTTCTAAGGTTTTTGTTGGAGCATTCATTTCGGGGTGAATAGTGATTCTGTTTCCCGATGTGGAATTCTAATAGAAGGATGGGGGTTAATCAAGAAAGTGCCATCAGGTCTAAACAAATCTCTGTGTTGAAAGTCAGAGTTAAACATTTGGTGGATTACATCTAATCTTTTAAGCTAGTGTGGGTCATTTTTTAAAGTAATTGTTAAAATGGTAAAGTAATGTCCTTTATTTACAAGTAATTTATTATATAAATGAAATATAGCTTTCTTGACAGGATTTACCATTAGATTTAGCCTATTAACTATAATATGAATTGTCTGAGCTGGTAGGACATGAAGCAATGCCTAGGCTGTGAACACCATCCCATTCGTGGTTCATATCACACATCTCATGGAGGAGTGGTTCTCCAGTCACCTTTGGAGCTTGTTTAGTAGTAACAGTGCCAAGACCATAGAGTAGACGTACCAGGTCAGACTCTTCAGGACATGGCTGCCCCATGTGTGCATGTTGATAAAGCTCCCGGGGATTCCACTGCACTATGGGGCTTCAGAAGCATTGGTATCCTGTGTGAGGCTGTTAACCCTGTGGGTTCTGGTGTGGATTAAGACCTTCCCTTACTTACATTTTACTCAACAGACCTCTGTTAAATGGCTAGGTGTACCAGGCACTATAGTGGACGCAAGGTAACTAAAATAGTTATCCGCTTGTGAAATACACAAGTATATAATGAAATTGTGGTCAAGTAATGTAATAAGTACTTAAATAGCTGAAGTATATTGTAAGTCCTAAGAAAAAGGAAGCAAATTAACTATTTGGGCAGATACGGAAGGTGACATATTTGCACTGGTTTGGGGTAACAGTTCACCGAAGAGAAAAAGGGGAAAAGGATCCATTTGCAAACAGTGCTGTCTTGTTCTCTGAAGGAAAGATATATAGCCACAACAGTAATATTATCAGTGTACAAGCTTAAACCATTCAATTAAAATGTTGGCACCATAGGGAATAGGAAATAATAAAGGATTGCTAAGTTCTTATTCCAGGTGACCAGGATCGAATGAATAAATCCAATCAGGACATTTGGGAAAATGATCTTGAAAGCATGCTGGTGAACAGTTGCTGTTCTTGTCCACATTGCCAAGAGGTCAGCAGGTAAAAAAGCACCACAATTTCTAAAATTTGAAATTGTTCTACTTGTGTTCTTCTGTAGGTTGGTACAGGTCTTGGGCCTACACTGGAGTTTTATGCACTTGTATCTCAGGAACTACAGAGAGCTGACTTGGGTCTCTGGAGAGGTGAAGAAATAACTCTTAGCAATCCAAAAGGTAATGTTAACCTGTGATTTAGTCCGTCAATTGGTGTTACTCGGATCAGGTAATAGACTCTTAGAATTCATTAAATATGTTTAATTTCTAATGGAGGACCATGCTTTCTGACCTTCATTTCTTTTAGCCTCTGATTTCTCATTTATCAAAAGGGGAAGCCCTTCAAGCTCTGGAGGACTTCATTTGGTGATCTGCTCTCTAATTTTCAGAATACTGAATTTCTTAAATGTTCTTAGTGTCCAGATTTTGTTTTGTTTTGTTTTTAGAAATACCATCTAAAGATTGGTGAACTGCTTATTTTACAGGAAACCAAGAAGGGACCAAGTATATTCAAAACCTCCAGGGCCTGTTTGCGCTTCCCTTTGGTAGGACAGCTAAGCCAGCTCATATCGCAAAGGTTAAGATGAAGTTTCGCTTCTTAGGAAAATTAATGGCCAAGGCTATCATGGATTTCAGATTGGTAAGTTTAAGATGGTTTGCTTTTCTACAATTTTGTTGTATAATATTCTGTGAAAGTATGTCAATCCCCTGCACTTTAATGCTATATTTTAGAGCAGTGCTTCTCAAACTTTAACATGCATATGAATTATTTGGGGATTTTGTTTAAAATGCCAGTTCTGATTCAGTAGGACAGGGGCGAGACTGTCCTT